CCAGACACAAGAGGATGAAACTGGTCCTGTGTGCAAATCATTTGCTTAAATTCATGATTAGAGTAAAGTTCATATGTGCATTCAAATATACCAACAGCTAATTGTGAAGTTGTGTTGTCTGATTTTCACCAGCTTGCACATTTCATCAAAATTACCAAATTTCCTTTAATTTAGTCGAAAAATATTGCATTGCAATCACTGGGCGCGCGTTCCCGCGGGGCGCGTTCATGTGTGTGTGAGTGGGTACGTGTATGGGACATGTGCATGTGTGACTTGAAAGGAGTTGACATATTATCTTTATTTGCAAGCAGTAGCTGCAAAACTAAAACTTGTCACAGCAGCTCCAGACCCGGAGATCCAGCCCGGTTCTATCAGCGGACCCTCCCAGAGCGCTCGCGGGGAATGCTGCCTCGCTTCCCCGCTAAGATGCGGGAGGGACACCGCTGAAAATTTTTACGGCTTTTTTCAAAACTCTGATCCGAGCATTATCTTCATTTGCAAGCAGTAGTTGTAAAAATAAAACTAGGACGGTAGTTTCAGACGCGGAAATCCAGCCCGGTTCTTTCAGCGGGTGCTCCCACAGCGCTCGCCGACAATGATGCCTCGCTTCCCCGCTAAGATGCGCGAGGGAGACCGCTGAAAGATTTGACGCTTTTTTCAAAACTCTGATCTAAAATATCAGATTACGCCGCTTCCCCTTGGTCGATCGAGGTCAAATAAAAAGTGTTATGATCGCTGAGATCCCCTCTTTGCGATGTGTGCCCAAAAACAGCGCCGCTTGACAAACAAAGTCACGTGATCAGGCCATTTCGGTGACGTGACACCTAAAAATTTACTGCGCATGCCAATATAAAATGAAAAAAACCCTCCAGCAAACTTTATGCAAACAAATCAGTGTGGACACTGTTCAAAGGCACACATGTGCCTGTTCCAATAATAGTAGGAGTAAATCAGATTATTATTGTAATTATTGATATATTGCAATTTTTCAACTTTTTTTTAATAATGGTATTAGCACTCCATCATTAAAACAGGTCATGAAAAGGTTAGTTTATAAATATATTGATGAAATAACACATCACACACCAGAAAACAAATGAAATTAAGCAAAAAAAAAAAAAAAACTGTAATACATATTTTTACTTTTACGTGGTGTCGGTTAGAATCCATAGGGCCCAAAAATGGGCCCAACAGGAGCAACGTTAGTCCTAGTTAACAGGACCTGTACATAACTCCACATGTGTTCATTCATAGTTTTGATGCCTTCAGTGAGAATCTACAATGTAAATCGTCATGAAAATAAAGAAAACGCATTGAATGAGAAGGTGTGTCCAAACTTTTGGCCTGTACTGTACATAGGTGGGCTCTCAACACGTGTACACTCTGCTTGTTACGCACTCAGACATGCAGATAGGCTATGGATGGGTGAAATAAAACATTGTTAATGACAAAAGTTTTAATGACATTCTCTAAAATGTGAACATAGCAGAGAGCAGAGCAGAGTTGCTGTCTGACTCCAACACCCGTACACTCTGCTTGTTACACAAACAGGGACATGCAGATGCGTTGTGGGTGGATGAAATAAAACATCATTAATAACGAAAGTTTTAATGACATTCTCTAAAATGTGAACATAGCAGAGAGCAGAGCAGAGCTGTTCACCAACTCCCCATTAATAGAGATGCTGTGTGCATTCATGCAGAAGGAGCAGTGTAACTTCAATGATTATTTCAGGAGCTAAAAGTTTAGTGTTGTTTCCTGTGTCAAGTTTACATCCACAGCTTTAATTTTGCTGCTGAAATGTCCCACCATATTTACTGCAGTGACGTTACTGCTCCAACTGTGTTACTCTCTGCAGAAACCTGCTGGCAGTGCACCAGGTGTAGGCTCATCTGGCTGTTAGGGGAAATGGAAGATGACACTCTGATGAAACTATGATTGAGGGACTACAACTGTTTTTTTTGCCCCTTGTGCTTTACTTTACGACCAGATGATGTGTCATTAAATGAGCCAAAGTGGATTTGGACATGCCCTAAATGCCCTTGCACCATATACTTTGGACCAGTGGTTCCCAACTGGTGGGTTGCTGTCCAAAAGTGGGTGGCGGGTTCATTTTGAATCAAATCAAATCAAATCAAACTTTTTATATAGCACTTTTCATACATTAAAAATGCACCACAAAGTGCTTCACAAAATAAAAACATACACCAAAAAATACTACAAATATTGAAATGGACCGCAAGTGACTAGCGAATGTGTCAAGTTCATACAAAACACACTCTATTTTGGAGTACAGTGAATTTCCAGCACTGAGCTTTCATTTTAAAGTGCCGTCTCCTGCTGTAGAGTGAGTGACTACCGGTAGAGCTTAGATTGGGCCCAAAATATCCAGCCCGACCCCACCCGAGCCCGTGCATGTTCTGAGTCTGACCCGGCCTGTCCCTTTAACTGTACTGTAATTACGAGCCCGAGGATAGTGGCGGGAAATTACGGGCCCAGGTCGGGTTCAGGCTCAGGCAGAGAATCTAAGCTCTAACTATCGGACAGCTTCTCAACAGAGACAGCAAACTAACTCAATGACATGGCCAAATGCAAGTATGACACTGAATAGATTAAACCGTGTGGACCTTGACCTAATGACTAAGGAGAAATCTGGACACCGTGGCTGGACCAGTTGGGAACCACTACTTTAGACCATGTGGTATAGATCATTTAATGAGTGCCCTATCAGTCTTTAGCCATGCTAGCAGTTCTGTGAGCCTGTAGTTAGATGCAAAGGTGCTTGGAGCTAAATGCTAATGCCAACATGCTAACTTGCTCACAGTGATAGTAGGCTGATGTTTAGCAGGTATAATGTTCGCTGTCCTCTTGTAGTGTGTAAGCATTCTCATTTGCTAATTAGCAGCAAACACAAGATCCAGCTGAGGCTGATGAGAATGTTGTTAGTTTTGGAGTTACAAATGTGAACCTCATCGTGGCGCTATAGGAAATGTGAGGGGATCTGGTCCTAGTGTGGTTAAAACACAATAAAATGTCATTAGCAGTAACATGAATTGTTTCTAGATCAGGTCAGGTTAAGTTTATTAATATAGCACACTGTCACAAATTACAGATTCGCCTCAAGGGGCTCTACCATCTGTACAGTGTACGACACCGTATGTCCTTAAACCCCCCTTCAGGTGAATCTCAAGGTAACATGATAAAAAAGAAAAAGGAAATTGTTACAATAAGCAAAGAACAGTGACAAAAACTTCAAAGAAATATGTTCTGCTGAGAGAGAATAAACCTGCAAAATTCAAGGCAGAACAATGAAACGTTCCCTTTTTGAATTTATATGTAAATTATATTTGATTTTTGCACCACTTATCAGAGAAAAATGATGTGTCCAGTTTCCTGTCAGCTGCTTGTTTTTCCTCCCTCAGTTTTTCCGTTCCTGATTATGTATTGCGACTCATCATCCATCTTCAGTCAGAAAGTGGTGTTATTGCACTGGAGCATTTAAAAAAAAACTCTCTCCATGTTCACATTGTGAAAAACCTCTTGAAATGATCTAATCTGAAAATCAAATCTTTCTGCTGCGGAACTTTGTCCTTGTAAAGCTGAGTAATAGAAATAAGGAGGTACTACGTGTTTGGTTATGCAGCCAGATATCATAGATTTATTTCTTCATGGCTCTTTGGTAGATCAGCTCCTTAATTTGAAAACGGATAATCATTTTAATCTTCCCTCTTTGTCTCTGTCTCTCTTCCAGTCACTGTGTACGGCTCAGAATGTGAATTGCAGAGATCTGGAGGGGAGACACTCCACCCCCCTTCACTTTGCAGCCGGCTACAACAGAGTGTCAGTGGTGGAGTACCTGCTGCACCACGGGGCTGACGTGCACGCCAAGGACAAAGGGTGGGACTCTTAAATTATGGTTTAATTTGTGGCAAATGTTAAAGTAAACACAGATTTCGGTTTACGTGATAAATGCATGGTTAACTGATGGGATGAAATAGTTTCTTGTGTGCATGTGTTTTCCCTCTGCAGTGGTCTGGTTCCCCTCCATAACGCCTGTTCGTACGGTCACTACGAGGTGGCTGAGCTGCTGGTCAGACACGGAGCCTCAGTCAACGTGGCTGACTTGTGGAAGTTCACACCGCTCCATGAAGCAGCTGCCAAGGGCAAATATGAGATCTGCAAGCTGCTGCTCAAGGTCAGACTGCACTCTTCTCTCCTCTTGTCTAACAAACTTTCAGTGCCACAAATGCTTATAAATTCATGTGCATGGAAAACCTTAGAAGCAATCTAGTCGTAAGTGATAATTTACAGTGAGTGGGTTATTGTTTTTGTGAAAATAGTCTTGTGTCGCCAGCCCTATCTCCACGCCACTAAAGAAAAGGTCTGGAAGCACATATTGTCGTTCTGCTACAGGGGTTAAAAGATGCTCTGGGTTGTTTTTATTTCTTTAAACCAATTACAATCGTCTTAGGCAGCGGTAAAACTAGGATGCAGACAGATGTACATCGACTGTCAACTTTTACTGATGCTAACGGCAAATATATTTTGATAATTGCTGCAAACTTTTCATGTTTGTGTGTGTATGTCACTTTGTATCAGTCTGGGATCATTCTGTGGCCACAGTCTAAATTTGGAGGTTTGTACAAGTCCGTGAATGCAGCACAGGCAAAGCTCCTCATGAGTTTATTTTTCCTCAGCAGCACTTTATGGAGTTTGAGTAGCGGTGATGATAACTGATCAGTCGATTCCAATCAAAGCTGAACCGAAATAGATCGATGGACGAGAGGAGCAGCTGCAGAGGCATGTGAAAATTTTCAGAACCAGCGCAATGAATGGTTAAGTTTAATTTTCATTACCTCTCACGTTCTGCTGCTCCATCTGTGCCAAGAGTACGCTCTGAAGCCTGAAAGTGTGGTGCAATAAATAACTCAACTCAACTTTATTTACAGAGCACTTTAAAAACAACAGCCAAAACAAAGTGCTGTACATAAACATAAAAACTTAAGACATAAAACAAACAGTTAAAAACAATAAAAACACTAAAAGACGAGTTCTAAAAATGGACAGTGAGGGGGCTTGTCTGATGCGCAAAGGTAGGTCGATCCAAAGTTTGGGAGCAGCAACAGAAAAAGCTCTATCCCCTCTGAGCTTCTGCTTGGACCTCGGTACCTCCAGGAGCAGCTGATCAGCTGACCTGAAGCACCGAGCAGGAGCGTAGGGATGGAGCAGCCCAGAGAGGTAAAGCAAGGCCAGACCATTTAAAGATTTAAAAACAATAACAGAATCCAGCTCCAACAATAGAAAATCAATATGAAGCACCAGATGCAGCTGCAAATTAATGAATGTGTGGGAAAGTACTGAGTTATTACCTAGTAAGCACATGGAAATGTACAAGGAAACTAGATGATAAAAAATAAGGTTGGAAAGTACCCAAAGAACTTGATTTTAAAAGCTACCAGGAAACCTTACAATCTAGGTATTAGTATAGTATTCATAACAGGTATTAGTATACAGTCCCTGACAAAAGTCTTGTCGCTTATCCTAGTTGTAGGAACAACAAATAATAACCTGACTTGTAGTTGATCAATTGGGATCAGAAATAGCTTATATGAAAGGCAAAGGCCTTTAGATTATGCTTATTATACCAAAATAAAGTTGTGTATCATTCATTGAGTTTTATCATTTAATCAAGACAGAAAGGTCAGATCTTGCTTGGACAAAAGTCTTGTCGTGTCTTTAAACAATTCAACCAATCACAGATTAGAGCTCCACCTGTGACAAATACTGTAATTAACACATTCCCAGGTGTGTATAAAAAGAACCCCAGCACACCAGACCTTCATGTGAAGTGCAACCTGACCGCTGACAACATGCCAAAGATTTAACCACAGACCAAAGTGCTGATCATCAAGAGCCTGAAGACCAAGTCTGCTGCTGAGGTGGCAGACATCTTCAGTGTATCCAAACGTCAAGTGGAGAGGATAAAAAAAAGATTTGAAGAAACTGGTGACACTTCATGACAAGCCCAGGTCAGGCAGACCCCGTAACACAACTGTTAGAGAGGACCGTTTGTTGCTTCGGCAGTCCAGGGCCAGCCCTTTTTCAACTGCAGCAGAGCTACATCAGAACTGGTCACCGGAAACCCCTGTATCTACCAGAACAGTTTGTCGAATTCTCTCACGCAATGGTCTCCATGGCCGAATTACTGCTCACAAACCAGCATTAAACAGAAGACAACAAAAGAATCGTGCTGCATTTGCCAAGGCCCACAGCTTGCAGAAAGGATGGACAGTGGAAAAGTGGCAGAAGGTTGATTTTTCTGATGAATCATCCATTGAACTGCATCCCAATTGCCGCAAATACTGCAGAAGACCTGTTGGAACCCGCATGGACCCAAGATTCACCCAGAAAACAGTCAAGTTTGGTGTAGGAAAAATCATGGTTTGGGGTTACATCCAGTATGGGGGTGTGCGAGAGACCTGCAGAGTGGATGGCAACATCAACAGCCTGAAGTATCAAGAGGTTCTTGCTGCCCATCACATTCCAAACCACAAGAGAGGGCAAATTCTTCAGCAGGATGGTGCTCCTTCTCATACTTCAGCCTCCACATCAAAGTTCCTGAAAGTGAAGAAGGTCAAGGTGCTCCAGGATTGGCCAGCCCAATCACCAGACATGAACATTATTGAGCATGTCTGGGGTAAGATGAAGGAGGAGGCTTGGAAGATGAAACCAGAGAATCTTGATGAACTCTGTGAGTCCTGCAAGACTGCTTTCTTTGCCATTCCAGATGACTTCATCAATAAGTTATTTGAGTCATTGCCGAGACGTATGGATGCAGTCCTCCAAGCTCATGGGAGTCATACACGATATTAATTCTTTTTCCCAAGGCACCATGACTTTATGTTCTGATGTTATTGGAGCATGTTTGTGTATTCAAAATAAAGTATCATTTCTACAGTACATTATTTTTGTATGCGACAAGACTTTTGTCCAAGCAAGATCTGACCTTTCTGTCCTAATTAAATGATAAAATTCAGTGAATGATGCACAACTTTATTTTGGTATAATAAGCATAATCTAGAGGCCTTTGCCTTTCATATAAGCCATTTCTGATTCCAATTGATCAACTACAAGTCAAGTTATTATTTGTTGTTCCTACAACTTGGATAAGCGACAAGATTTTTGTCAGGGACTGTAGTATTCATAACAGCACAGTGACATACTACAATTAACAGTTTTTTGCAGAGTAACAAGTTAAATTGTTTCATGTGTTTCCTGTAAGAAATAATGAGGCAGGAGCAATTGCTACAAATGTCAGGTGGTGATGTTCCTTAATGCTGCTTCACTACCAGAAGCTAAACCTGAACAATAGTACAGATGACTAAACTACAGGCCTTGAGCTTCTTAAGAGCGAACAGAAATAGGTAAAAATAAAATAGCTGTTCAAAAGCGAGCTCACACTTTGGAACAATTTGTCCTGTCAGTCACGACTGGAGAGCATGGAGTGTTAACACGCACTTACGCAGAAGTAAATCACTTGACGCAGGCAGCCTTGTCATCAATAGGAAACAATTAGGAATTTGAAAATGCTGTCTGTGTTAGAATGAATTAACGTTACATAGATACAGATAGCAGCACTTTTTTTCTGGGAGCTTATTGACCTGTCAGGATGTGGCACCAATTTAGTACCACTTCTCAAAAGCCATCCCCAGAAATAACAGAATAACAGACCGCAGAATCAGCCCAGTGCTGCATATTTAAAGCTGCATAAGGTGTACAAATCAACAGTATGGATCAGACTCTGTGAAATAACAGTCATTAGACTCCAAAAATCGGCCCATCAGAGGCAAGTATTCGCTAAAAGGTATGACTTGTCATGCTCTCGGGGAGTTTTCAGCCCAGTCAGGGTAAACTCTAACCAATCACGCTACAAGGCTGAAAATATCTGCTGTGTAATTCCTGATTGTCACATCTCATCGACTCTAAATGAGTCCTGTGAAATGATGCGGTTTTACAGCTGAGCGTGTTTTTGTTTTTCTATCATAAACACTTCCAGACAAGGCTGCTTCACCACAGCGCTGCTGCCATATGGGGCTGAATAAATTATTTTTAGACACAGGACGCACACGACAAACCAAATGCACATCAGCTGCAGGGAAAATGTGTTCCTTTAAGATTTTTTTCAATCAGAATTCCTTTCCTGTCATTACACAATGAAATTAAGTTGGGAGCAATCTGTGTGTCGGATGCACTGAGGAATATAAAACACAATAATGAAATTAAATACCAACAAAAACAGAATGTAGCAAAAGATAAGCATAAATACTACAAAACTGGAATAGTACAAGGACAACTGGAGTTATAAATGATTCCTCAGGGTCTGTTAAATGTTGCAATAAACAGTAACGCATGATCTGCCATGTGAGCAGCATATAACAAAGAGAAATCAGCAGTGAAGTGGTTCAACCAACCAACCAGAGAAGTTATTGTGAGACTGACAAGGTCAGACTGACAAACTTGAGGAAAGTACTGCACGCAACAGTTCACAGCGGCAATCACTAATCACTTTGAGGCTAACTGCAATTGAGCAGTGCTGGTGGTGACAAAGTAAAAGTGTGATGATGCAGTGAGCGAGTGTGGATGTGGTGTGTGGTGCAGTGGAGCTGCTGCGATGACAGTTATGGTTGAGCGGAGTGGGCAGTGTTAAGGAAGGTGACAGCTCTGGGGGGAAAAAGCAATTTCAAAGTGCAATGGAAACAGACTTAGCAAATAAATCATAACTAAAACCTGCAGCACAAGAAAATGGATCCTTGTGGAGCGACGAGGAGACTGTAACGTTCCTCAAATTAACACATGAAATAAACATAAAGGTCTCATTTCAATCACCTTTTGTTTTCCACCAGGTTCGACTAATGCTCATTTTAATTGCGTCATCTTGTTGTGGCCTCTTCTTCTGTGGTGGTTTAATGGCTCCTGCCTGGAGAGTTTTTGCCACCAACTGTTTATCTTGATTTACCCAACTCTTAATGTCTGCATAACAGCAGTGGATGGAAACTGGCATTAATTTGCATTTTCTTTTGCTGGTTAAAATATGGATATAAAATCTATTATTTAACATGCAAGGGAAATGGTGCTATCCATTCACCTGATCACTCCATTGGCAAAGTGATACTGATTCAAATTGAAGGAGGGATG